TTTATTTCCTTTCTTCTGTCTTCTGATCACTTCTCATCTGGTGTTTTCTCTCACATTTTGTTTCCTGGTCTCTTATGCATTATCAGGTGTTCTCTCTACCTTCCTCTTTTCTTTTCTCTTTTCAATGTCCTGGTTTCCCCTCTTTCTCACGGTCTTGTTTTACGCCATAAACTTCCCAATAATATTTTTTCACTCTGCTTTACTATTAATGTCTACCCATTTTACCCTTTCATCCTGCATCATCTTTTTTTTCCTGCCATTCACATTCTATTCCTGAGTTTCTAACAGTATCACCTCTCCTATGTCTTGCCTATAATTCGTCCCCTCTGACACTTTCTTTTGAGCTCAAATTCCTTTATAAAAATTCCCATCTCGCCTATAACCCTACATATTGCTCTAAAAGATGGCGCTGGTTGCTTCATTCACCCTAGGTTGCCATCAGCGCTATCTGCAGAACACATGATTCTCTCTTTAAAGTAGGCTTTATGGAAGCAATGTGTTAGAGATGTCAGTCTGCTTAGATACAAATGTGTTCACCTTAAAGGAAGTGGTGTTTGAGATGTGTGTAGGGTAAATATAACATAAATGCAATTTAAGGACACTATTGTTATATAATAAATAATCTAATGTTTATTTTATGTGTGTACTATCAATACACAAATAATGTCTGCAATTGGCCACAGGTCGAGTATTTAAAGAAAAAAAAAGCCAGTAGTAATTACAAATTTTTGTATAGTCAAATGCAGACTACACACTCTACAGGCCTGTAATCTTCAAGGGGGTCAGTCATTTTGTCATAGGGAAATTAAAGATTGAACACATGGACTCATGTGACTGCACTTGATTGACCTTTTAATTTATTTTTTTCTCAATTATTATAGGACAAGTGTCCACCTTAACTGCTTCAAATGCCATTTTTCACATGACTTCCCAACCTTTGGAATGTTGTGAATAAACAGAGGAACAGACAAGCAAAAAAAATAGCACCGTATTTGCAGATGATAAAAATAATATACATTACAATAAAATATAGTACTCTATCATAACCAAAATTGATTTTTATTCAATAGGAATCAGTAAACAAGAGCCAGGTGAGATTCAATATAGTTATGTGCATCTTGAGATGGCTATTAAACAAGCAATATAAGCCATACATTTATTGAGATGGGGATAATGAAAACTGAAAAGTACTTAGAAATAATTATAGGCAGCAGACAAGGCAACAATGTTCAATGTTAGACAACAACTACAAGGGCCATTAAAGGACTGTCATGTGCAAAGAGGAGTACTAATATGTTTGATGTAAACTAAATTTGCCTCTATATGAATCAATAGTAATACCCCCACCTTGCTGACATAGTGCAATATTGGGCTTCAAATTTAATGAAGGATATTATGGAAGTGGCAAAAGTACAGATGTGGTCTACAAAACGAATAAGGGGTTCTTGCCTATATAGTCAGTCTAGAAAAGTTAATCTTGTTTACTTTAGAAATGGTGTGTCAGAAGTGATACACCATTGTACAAAACCGGTATATAAAAGGCTATCTAGTGACCTCTTCTTTAATAAATTTGTTTGCAAAACCACATAGTGAGACTTAAAAAAAAAAGAAATTTCACTTTAAGCAGAACAAAAGATGTAGTATTATCTGCCCAAACAGGTTGTTTTTTAAAGAGATATTGGTGCCTTTTTGGCAATGCAAGATATTCAGCCCAACGAGAGTTTATAAGGCATTGACAACCTGTTAATCTGTGGATAGCTCTAATTTTACCCCCTTTCTGGTTGGATGAATAGTAGAAACCAATGCGTGAAAGCTATCCTAAATATAAGATAAGGCCAGGGACTAATTAAAGTATTTAGAAAATTGGGCAGACTAGAAGGACTGAATGGTTCCTATATGCCATCACATTCTATGTCTCTATATGTCTATGTTTAGTCATGATAGACATTTTTTATTCTTGATGGAATCTTTTTTTTTTTTTTTAACAAATAAAACCAGTTACCAGAATCATCAAAGAAAAGTGTCATTTACCACAATCATTTTAGGTACTACTTAAAAAATAAATAAAAAAAAATAAAACATAATCTACATACTGATCTACTAATACACTTATTTGACATATTAATTTTAAAAACAGTGAGCTCCTTTATATGAAAAAGCTAACCTTTTCTTTGTTGCAGATATTTGGCCAACATTGCCCCAAAATTAGCCTTTTGATCTCCATTTCCATCTATGCGCTGAAAGGTCTTTAGTTGGCCAGTAGAGGATGCACGGATATGCCTTGGGTGCTGCAGTAGACTCTGCTGCTCTATTTCTGGAGCCCCTGGGTCTTCATTGACAGTACCTGTAGTTTGCTGTCCTATTGAGCTCGTTGAGAGCACAGCAAGTAATAAACAGATGCACATCCCACTGTACATAGCTGAGGAAAAAGAATAATTGTAAAAACATCATCTTCTCATGGAGAAAATACTATAGCAATTTATTTAAATGGTGAGAAGGCATTGTCATGGCCATGTGGGGACAACCTTATCAGGCCTTTAAGAACTGTGATGTGTCTAAGCTTTAAAAGATATGTAGTGTGGCTTTGAGTTTGGTGTGTTGTTAAAACCGGGAAACCAGCATACTGAATTTTTAAAACATTAAAAAAAAATGTTTAAAACATTAAACATTTAGATAGCACTGTACTTCTTTAATTGTGTATCCATATTAACCCCAGAGCAAATCGTAGATGATTTGTCTATCTATCTACCTATCCATCCATCATCCATCTATCCATCCATTCAATGCTCTAACTTCACATCCATGTCTTTATATATACCTTAACAAACTTGGTTAAAAAAGAAAGAAAGAAAACAATTTATAGTGATTATCTAATCAAAAATACAATTTTTTTTTTCATTGTCGTAGACAATTAATAGATCAGCATGGAACCAAAAAGTAAGTTTAATGTTAATCAAAAGTAAAAAAAAAAACATTATAGATTACACCTTGTGGAGAATGTATTCTCGTTTAATATTTTTGTTTTTCAGGATAAAAAGCAGGATCTAACCAAAAAGCGTAAATATCAAGTAGAACATACCCAATTGAAATCTAGAGTTGAATATTCATATGTGTCATTTTTATGACAGTTACTTAGAGTCATTATTAAAACATTACACCTACTCAACAGGTAATAGATATTATTGAGATTGTAATAATTGATCAATCAGCAGTAATGGTAATGGTGCAGCACTCTTAAGGAGCATCCAACTTGAAATCTATCACTTGTTTTGGTATCAGAAGATGAATCCATGCATTTACTTGGTTAGTAGCTGGACAGCTATACCCATTGTAGAAAAGAATCATTTTTTTTTTCATGGACCCAATTTTAACAGATTGACTTTTCCATAAGTTTATAATGAATGCTGACTTTAACAAACAGATCATGTAATCAATGATTGCTTTGTTGGAAATCTGTATTAGTGTCCAAAGGTATCTACAGAGATGTCAACAGACAAATAAATCCTACAACAATGTATTTATGGAAAGTTCAATATGTGAAATGTGGGTATTTTTCCTTACATTACTAATGTTATATGAGGATGCATTGTAAACTGCAATAGATAAGTGATGTGTGCTGTCAACTGCCTACAACATGCCTCAGGCTAAAAACATTCAGCAAAAATAAAGATGTTTTCATCAATTTACAAAGCACAGCAGATCTAGCTTGACCCATATTTTGCATGTCAGCAAAACCAAACATCAACTGAGTTTCTGTGAAATTGATTAGTCAAACATATTATTTATTAATAGTAGTTACTGATAACAACCAATTCAATATTTGGCTCTTTCCAGTACCAGGTTGCAGTGTCAACAAACTGCAGCACATTTTTTGCATTACAGTTTTCACACACTCAAAACTTGACTCATTTAGGTGGCATTTGTTGGAAGGGAATAGTAGATTTGCTGGCTGTAACCCTCACACATAAAATATACACCTTGTTTTTTATGTTGATTTAGCGTTGTAACAACAGGTGTGTTTGTAAATAATCTAGACTTAGCAGGTGGCTGGCTGAGAGTAATGGGAGCATGGCACTAGTGCAACCTGCACTTTTTATTGACTATTTTCTAGCTGAACATGCGTATACTGAGCTTCATTATGTTAAATGATTGTGATCTAAATAGATGCACTAAGTCTAATCAAGATGCTCAAAATGACTCCATATTTATCAGTGCAAATGTACACCCTTCATGGGTATTAATGTATGAAACATTTTATACAGAGACATGAACTATGCCAGAGGTGTCCCATGCATCTATCGTTGGGGCATTCCTCCACCCCATTGATCCTAGGTAAACCCCATAATGGCAGGTAGATGTTGGTGGACCCTAGTGGAGACTAGGGAGGGAAGAAAATAATTTAACACTCCAAACACCTCAGCTTCCCTTAAAGACACATGAGGGACATTTTCCTCATGATTCCTTTTTATATCAGAAGCTGTGTCCTTAAGTGGTTAAAATAAGTTAGTAGCAGCACCACAGCAAGTGAGGCATCCCAAAATGGGTTTCCAAAAAGGAAAACATCAGACAGCATACAGTGTCTAGAAAGGTGATGTGTCTTCCCTCTCTAGCCTGGGTTTGCTCACACTTGTATGCTGAATAAAGAGAAAGATCGTTCTTGCTTATTTGCTACCTGATTCTACATTTTCAAACGTTCGAATTCAATTCGAACACACGCTGACTGCAGGACATCAGTTCCAATTCAACTAGATATCACTCTTTCTCCCTTACTATACCCCCCCCAGTATACAAACTCATTTAACTCCTTCAGTGCCGGAAAGGTGACTTTTCATGGTCTCTTCCCCTAGTAATAAATGGCTAATCGGGAAAAATATAGTTTCAACTAGTAATATGAACATATAGTAAATAGCACATTACCGTACGGATACAATCTACAATGGCGATTCCAATCAGTTAAATACAATGGTGAGTCCAAATCTCCCTTGGACCTACACTTTTTATTATTTGCATTTGTAGAAAAAAAAAATTACAAACAGGATGGATTTCTATGCAATGCTACCTTTTCTGATAGAGCAGGACTATATAGACACGGGAGCAGGTTGCTCAGTAGAGGGATGCTGCAAGCTTACCTTTCTTATCTGCTCTGCTTTTCCAATAGAGTAGCAGGAATGGGCAGTGCTACAGAGGAGATACTGTACTCCAGGTAGCTGTGATAGAGCTTTTATACTAGCCCTTACTGTCATATGTTTGCACAGGCTGACGCAAACAAGGGATTGCCATGCTTAACTGGATGCCATCAGGTCATAATAAATTAATTTCACTGCAGGCGAAATGGAGTGAGGAGCTACCCCCTGAAATTGGCATATAAACCTATCTTCTCCACTACATTCCTAATTCACTGCCCCTAAGGTCTTACAACATATTGCTTTATGTG